AAAGTGTTCCTGGGCTGGGCACAGTGGCTCACACTTGTAATCCCAGCACTTTGGGAGGCTGAGGAGGATGATTGCTTGAGCTCAAGAGTTTGAGACCAGCCTGGGCAATGTGGCAAAACCTCCTTTCTAGGAAAAAAAAATCAAAAACTTATCTGGGCATAATTGCACACACCTGTCGTCCCAGCTACTCAGGAGGCTGAGGTGGGAAGATCACAGACATGGCACAAGGAATGTCAAGTCAGGATAGAGATGAAGGTGAGAGGATTCCGAGAGAAAACAGAAGGCAGAGAGTCTAGTTCTATGTCCATGTGTGTCAACCAGGATGAGGGGCCTTGTGTGTCATTTGATGAGGAGCAAGATGTGGAAAATGAGTCACGTCTCTCATGCATTCTCCCCAAAGAGAGTTGACTCCATTAGCACTGCCCTGCCCAACTTCAGCTAAGACGCATGGGGGAGATCCCTTTCTGACCCATTTTCTTCCTCCATAGGAATTTCACGCTTTTCCACCATCCAATGCATGGGAATTGCTACACTTTCAACAACAGAGAAAATGAGACCATTCTCAGCACCTCCATGGGGGGCAGCGAATATGGTAAGGAAACGTGTGCCAAGGAGATCTTGAGGTCCTCCAACAGTGGACATAGGGGCAGCAGGACAGTGGGGATGGCGGGAGCCCTCTGGAAATGCAGGATCTCTCCCACTTGGCCAGAAACTAAGGATGCCCTTTTTTTCTATCAGCGTTTCCATCGGTGTTCATGCTGGTTCCTTCCTTCCATGTCGGTGTCTGTTTTCCTTTTTGACTTCTCCACCTTTGAGAGAGTGACAGGGACATCGCTGGGGCTCCTTCTGCTAGGGAACTACTCTGGTTTAGACTCATAGCTAGGGTGAGTAATGCAGGACAGGTGGTTTCCAAATGGAGTTGAGCCCAAATATGCTGAACAGATTAGGGAGGTAGATGCCCATTTATCTTAGTTCAGGTGACAGACTCGGGACGGAGCCGAAACCCAGCTCGGCCACTCACTGTGTGACCTTGGGCAAGTTACTGCACTTCATCTATAAAGTGGGACTAATAACAGTATCTCCCATATGAGATTACTGAGAGGACTTAAGATACAGACTTAGAATAAGACCTGGTCTGCACTCTCTTAGTCTGCTTGTATAACAAAATACAAGAGACTGGGTGCCTTCGACAACAGACATTTATATATCACAGTTTTGGAGACTAGAAAGTCCAAAATCAAGGCACAGGCAGACTCGGTTCTGGTGAGGCTTCTCTCTTTGGGTTCAGAAGTCTGACTGTCTTCCTTCCATGTCCTCACATGGTCTTTCCTCTGTGGTGTGTCCACAGAGAGAGGCCTGTGATGTCTCTCTCTCTTCTGATCAGGACATCAGTCCTATCAGATTAGAGTCCTCTGCTTATGACTTCCTTTCACCTTAATGAAGGCCCTATCTCCAAATAATATCCCTTTGGGGGTTAGGGCTTCAACATATGAATTTGAGGCAGTAAACAATTCAGCCATAACACATACTAAGCACACAATAAGTGCTAGTTGCTATTGTTATTACTACTATTATCACCGTTACTAGCATTGTTACCAGTCTACCACCATTGCTACTGCTGCCACTACCCCCAAAATAATACCATTGCAACTTCCAGCACTACTATTACTACTATTCCACTATGATTACATTGGTAGAGAAGGTAGGAACTGAACAGACTGGCCTGGCTTATGCCCAAAAAGAATGCTTGAAAGGTCCCATGCAAATAGAACATGATGTGATATGCAGATATACTCCCACCAGGACAAGCAAGGGCCTGTCATAAAGGAAATCCACACTTGGAATCCTGGCCTTTGTCACTGTGTAGTCTCTGCTCTTACTAAGTCTGCAAGGAATCATAATTCAGTGCACATACTTCATGGGGAAGAAGTAATCTGGAAACAGAGTGAAAAGTTGCAGAGTCCTGGCTCTGCTATGGAGGGGCTGTGTGACCTCAAGCAATTCACTTCCCCTCTCTGGGCTTTGTTTGTAATTGTTTACAAGTTGTTTACAAATTGTTTGCGATTATTTACAAGTTGTTTACGAATTGTTTGCAATTGTTTACAAGTTGTTTGCAAATTGTTTGCAATTGTTTACAAGTTGTTTACAAATCATTTGCAATTGTTTACCAATTCTTTGCAATTGTTTACAAATTACCCTTGTTTACAAATTGAATGTCAGAATGACTCTCAAAAGTATCTTCTTTCCATCCATATAGACCCCGCTGATTCACTCATCCACTTACCAAGCATGGAGTATCTCCTGTTTGCCAGGCCCTCTTCTACACACCGGGGACACAGCAGTGAAAAGACAGATGTCTTCTCTGCTGTTAGGGAACTTAAATTTTCCTGGGGAGAGACAGACAAAAAATGAGTACACAACTACACAGACATGATCTAGTTACAAATCCTAATGACTGCTATTCAGGGAAGAAAGAGGCAGAGTGGGAAGACAGTGGCTGGGGTCAGGATGGGGGGGTGGTTAGTTTGGATAAGATCTCTAAGAGGGGGCTATTTAAGGAGGAAAAGATTCATGTTAAGATCTACACAAGAACATTCCAGGGACTAGCAAGGGCAAAGTCCCTGGGAAGGACATGAATCAGATGTGTTCTAGAAACAGAAGTAAGACCAGTGTGCTTGGAGCTTACTGAGGTGGGGAGAGAGTGGGAGGAGATGAGGAGGGAGAAGTAGGCAGGGGCTGTATCATCATCACCTGGACAGATGCAGCCAGGTTTATCCTGTGGCATTCCCATATATCCAGTGGGATGCCACTGAAGAGTTTCAGGTTTCAAGGAGTGACCTGGTCTAAAGTCCAATTTTCAAAGGACCTCAGCCCATACACGAATGAGCAGCGTCTCTATGGATGGAAAGAAGAGAATTTTGAGTTATCCTGACATTCAATTTGTAAACAAGGGCAATCGGTAAACAATTGCAAATGATTTGTAAACAATTGCAAACAATTTGTAAATAAGCCCAGAGAGGGGAAGGGAATTGCTGGAGGTCACAGCCCATCTGTAGAAGAGCCAGGGCCCTGCAACTTTTCACTCTCAGTTCCCATGTGCACTGGTACTGTGTTTACTCTGGTGCTGGGTCAGCATAGACTGCAGGGGACAAGAGCAGGAGTGGGAGAAAAAGTTGTGCCAGTGATCAGAAACACCATTAGTGATTCATCTCTTCTCTGAGTGCCCGTCCTGAGGGGTTAAGCAGCCAGAGCAATGCATGCTCTTTTGAATATTCTGAGCTCCCCATCTCAGAGGACCACATGGAGATGCATGTCTCGGGCAGAGTGGCAATTTCCTTACACTTGGCAAAAACGTACGCTTAGCAAGAACTGTGACAGTGATACTGTCTGAGCCCCTGTTTTGGGCTAAGCTGTGGGGGCACAGCAGAAAGCAAGTCAGGCACGCATTCCAATCTCATGGAGCTTCCAGTCTAGCCCTTGTCCACCTGTCACTTGTTGGAAATACCTGGTCTTGGATTTGAAGCTTCTGAAGCAGTGGGAGAGGTGGGTTACCCCCCAGGAAATGTTCTTCTAGCCTTGGATCACAGCAGGTTGCCTTATCCTCCCAGGGCTGCAAGTCATTTTGTACATAAATGAAGAGGAATACAACCCATTCCTCGTTTCCTCCACTGGAGCTAAGGTGATCATCCATCGGCAGGACGAGTATCCCTTCGTTGAAGATGTGGGAACAGAGATTGAGACGGCAATGGTCACCTCTATAGGAATGCACCTGGTAAGAGAATATTCTCATTTCCATAGGCTTGGAGAGAACAGATTTTTTTTTTTCAAGGATAACCAATGAGGTGCAGCCTGTGGAAAAGGGTGTTTGTTTCAAAAGGGAACATGGCCCCAGATTTTCCCATGGTTACCCCATTCATTTCAGGAGTTACATTAAAGGTTGTGTTTGTATCTTCTGGCCGACTGCAGTGGCTCACACCTGTAATCCCAGCACTTTGGGAGACCGAGGTGAGGTCAAGAGTTCAAGACCAGCCTGGCCAACTTGGTGAAACCTGTCTCTACTAAAAATACAAAAAATTAGCTGGGTGTGGTAGCACATGCCTGTAATCCCAGTTACTTGGGAGGCTGAGGCAAGAGAATAGCTTAAACCCAGGAGGAGGAGGTTGCAATGAGCCAAAATCATAAATCATGCCACTGCACTCCAGCCTAAGCAACAGAGCAACACTCCAATTCAAAAAAGAAAAAAAAGGTTGTATTTGTGTGGATTAATAGGACAGGATGCCATTTGTGGAAAGAATTTAAAAAGCAAGACACCAGCATTTGTGGAACCTATGCTGGAAGCAAGGCATTAGGACACTAACTGTATATTTGTAGGGAATACAAATAGATAAGATTACCAACTATCTTTCTGGGTTGCTTAAAGGCCTATGAGGCATGTCAGTAACTGTATTAAAGCCTAGTGGAAAGTCACTCAGCTCTCCAAGGTCTATTTAGCCCATCACGTTTCCATCAATTTTACCTCATTTACCAAGAACCCCTTCTCCCTCCAAATTTGACCTTTGTGGACCTCTCTGGGCACTGAGAACACACAAACCTATCAACAGAAACACAAGTAAGCTGCAGACTCCAACCCCTGAGTCAGCCTTGCCCAGTGGGAGCTGAATGGCAAGGTAAAGAGCGGACACTGATGGCCCTGGTCACTCCACTGCTTATGGAGTTTTCTTGTTTGCAGTTTTCTTGTTTGCAGGCCTGGGGTCTTTTTATTCCAGGATCTGTCTGCCTCTCCTTTCTCTCTTTCGTAGAATGACTGTTAAGAACTTATTTAGACCAGGCACAGTGGCTCATGCCTGTAATCCCAACACTTTGGGAGGCCGAGGTGGGTGGATTACTTGAGCCCAGAAGTTTGAGATCAGCCTGGGCAACATAGCAAAACCCCATCTCTACCAAAGACAAAATACAAAAATTCACCAGGCATGGTGGCACATGCCTCTAGTTCCAGCTACTCGGGAGGCTGAAGTAGGAGAATCACCTGACCCCGGGGAGGTCGAGGCTTCAGTGAGCGATGATTGTACCACTGCACTCCAGCCTGAGTGAGACTCTGTCACCAAGACTGGAGTGCAGTGGCGCAATCTCGGCTCACTGCAACCTCTGCCTCCCTGGTTCACGCCACTATCCTGCCTCAGCCTCCCGAGTAGCTGGGACTACAGGTGCCTGCCACCACTGCTGGCTAACTTTTTGTGTTTTTAGTAGAGATGGGGTTTCACCGTGTTAGCCAGGGTGGTCTTGATTTCCTGACCTCGTGATCCACCCAATTCGGGTGGTCTTGATTTCCTGACCTCGTGATCCACCCAAAAGTGTCATTATGGGCCCCTGTGCCTGGCCCATAATGACACTTTTCTTTACCTGTTTGGGGGTGGGGAGAAAGAAACAAAATCCCCTTGTGGACTATACATCTGTTCACGCCTTTACTTAAATCCAACCTTAAATCCCCAATTAAACTTCCTAGCCTTTATCCCTCACAAACGTATCCTCCAGAGCAGTGGCTTCCAACCCTGGTTGATTATCAGACTCAAAGTCACTGAATCAGAATCTGTAGAAGATGAGCCTAAGGATCTATATTTTTACCAAGTTGCAGTGGTTATTCTAAGAGGCAGCACACTTGGGAGCCTTGGCTCAACCTTTTTTTTAATGTTTAAATTTAAAAAATTTTTAGAGTCAGGATCTTGCTCTGTCACCCAGGCTGGAGTGCAGTGACACAATCATAGCTCACTGGAGCCTTGAACTCCTGAGGGCCTCGGTTTTAGAAACTTGAGCAATGCAGAATTAGAGGAAAAAATATTGTGTCTTCCCAAGTGAAAGTGAAGCTAGAATGACACAAAGATCTAGCTGTAGCTTTGCATTGGGTTAGACAAAGAGATGGTGGGCATTTAGGGCTTGGATATCCATCTGTCATTTATCCATTCAACTGATATTTTCTGAGCACCTTCTATGTGCTAGACATGGGGTACCTCAGTCTGGAGGACACCGTCCCTGTCCTGAGAGAGTCTGGAGCCCAGCAGAGAGGATTGACTAATAAACCAGAAACGGCACAAATGATTCATTATAATTGCCGTAAGTGCTCTGAAGAAGAAATACAAGACCATCTGAGTGTATATTATGACATGACTGACCTGGGGCTCATTTTCAGTGGGGAAGATGAGGTTCAAGGAAGGCTTTCCTGAGGAGGTGCTATTTAAGCTGAGACAGTAAGATGATGAACTAGAATGGAAGTATGACAGACGAAGTCTGTGGCTTCACTGCCTCATGGTGCCCCATAGAAAGGACAACCCTGGACAAGGGAAACCATCAAAATGGTCTTTCTGGGCCCCCAGATGCTCTCAGGAGGCATGTTACTTAGGGGCTTTGTTCCAGCATGGGAGGGAAGTAATGTGTATCAGCTTGAGCTGTGTGAATGAAAAAAGAAAAACTATCTCGAACACCCAATCTGCTCAAACTGTGACTTGAAAAGACTTTTTTAAGAGACAGCCACTTAAGTAGCTGGGCAACTCATTCTTTTGTTCACTGGTGGATGGCAAAACCTCAGAGCACAGTAGTGAGCATTTTGGTCAGACATGTCCCACACAGTTTTATCTGCACCCTGAAGTAGGATCCAGGATTTGCAGCGCATCCTTCCCTTATCCTTTCGCCCTCTTCCCTCTTTTCAAACTGGTGTGAGTTACTGGAGCTTGCAAAAGTACAAGAACTAAGGAATTCTGCTCTCTTGTTTTCTTGCTCTGAGCTTGGAAATACCCACCACATTGTTAAGCAAATGTTCTCTTTACCAGTGGTGGGTAAACACAGACATGAGTGAGTTTGCTGCTACACTTAATTTGAGATGTAGAAAATCAAAGCCACAGAGCAGGGTCAGTCAGCTTTAGGTCTGATTTATGAGCATTTAGAACAACAACAGAAAAAAAAAAAAACAGGGATTATGAAGAGGTCAGCAGAGAGTCACTAAGAAAAAGTCCAACCAAACTAGACTTCCTTCCTTTCTGATTTTATTTATGTATTGATTGATTAATAGGTGTGTGTAGCTGGTAGGCTCAGTCAGGCTGGCCGGCAGTTGGTAAACAAAACTTCCTTTATTCACTGAGAGATTGCATGTCCAAAGTACTGAATATTAAAAGGTGAACCCAACAGAGCTCCTACCTTCAAAGTTCTTAACTTGAAGAGGGGAAGACAAAAGTTTGTTTGCTTTTTTAAAGACAAGGTATTGCTCTGTCATCTAGGCTGGAGTGTGGTAGTGTGATCACAGCTCACAGATCACAGCAACCTCGACCACCTGGGGTCATGTGATTCTCCTGCCTCAGCCTTCCAAGTAGCTGGGACCACAGGCACATGCCACTGTGTCTGGCTAATTTTTAAATTTTTGTAGAGATGGGGGTCTCACTATGTTGCTGAGGCTGGTCTCAAACTCCTGGCCTCAAACAGTCCTCCCATCTTGGCTTCCCAAAATGCTGGGATTATAGGCGTGAGCCACCACGCCTGACCGAAGACAAAAGTAAGCACAACTTTACAATACAGTTTCCATCTCTGTGGAAACAGACCTTTTCTGCCTGGTTCCAAAGCTTGCTTCTTAGAACATAACAGATCCTCAGTAAATATTGATAGATGACAGATGGATGCGTGGATGGGTAGATGGATAAGTGAGTGGGTGGATGGATGGTTGGATGGATGGATGGATGGTTGGATGGATGGATGGATGGATGGATGGATGGATGGATGGATGGATGGATGGATGGATGGATAGGTGAGTGGGTAGATGGGTAGGTAGATGGTTGGCTGGCTGGATGGATGGATAGATAGGTGAGTGGGTGGGTAGGTGGGTGGATGGATGGATGCCCAGACAGAAGCTATTGGAGAAGGCTTTATAAATGATGGATTTAGAAGGACAAGTGCAGGCAAATAGTCAAGAAGAGCCAGTCCAGACAAAGAACGTAACAATTACAAAGGAGTCACAAAATGAGTTTATTTAAGCTGTGTAGTGAAACTTTTCAAAGAAATCATTTTAATGGAAGTATTATCAGTATACTGGAGACAGTACATTTGTAGTAATTCTAGAAAGAAATGATGTGGACCTCAGCTGAGGCAATGGCTGTGGGGATGAGCAGAGGGAATAGATTTCAGGGATATTACAGCACAGAAGCAACAGGGCTTGACGGCCAATGTTAGCAAGAAGGGCCAGGGGGAAGTTAGATTGATATTTAGGTAGTGGCTTGGGCAGAGAGATGGAGGAATGCCAGGCTCAGAATTAGAGAATCCAAGGGCAGGGTATGTTTGGGGGAGAAGACCACTTCAATTTGGGACAGACCCAATTTGTTATGCCTTTGAGAAGTCAAGGTGAAAAGAAAGCATTCATTAGATGCTATGGACCTAGAGCTCAGGAGAGAATCTTGGGGGGTAATTGTAGACATGGAAATAAATGCCATCACCCAAGACCTGAGACAGAACCCTAAACATGCAAATGTTTAAGGGCTGAGCGGAAAGTTAAAGGAGAAAGAGAGGCAGAGAAGTAGGATCAGAAGCCAGAAAGAGTTGGCATCAGATAAATCAAGGAAGATAATTTTACAGAAGGTGTGACCAAAAGTAGCAAGTACAGTCGAGAGGTCAGGCAAGGTAGAGGGCAAAAGCATTCTCTGGTTTTGGCAGCCAAGAGGTCACCAGTGTTCTGTGCCAGAGACGTTTTCAGTGGAAGGAGTGGAACAGAAACCAAAGTACAATGGGTTAAATGGTGAA